ATGTTGGTAAATGCCATGAAAATTGTATATTATAGAGGTCAAATTCCAAATTTTAATGGGAAAGTTAACGGAAAATGTGATTGCAAAAAGTAAGTTTCATCTTTAAAATAATAAAGTCGCTAATGTCATTAATTAAGAAAAATAAATAAAAAAAAATTTGATTAGAGAAGTATACTTTTGTCACATAAAGCGTTGGAAAAATAAATAAATATATTCAAAAAAAAATTAATTAGTAAAATTTAAAAAAAAAAAAAAATAATTTTTATTAGTTATTTAAAGTATAAATGTAAGATTCTAATCAAACAATATACTTTCATAAAAAAAAATATATTTGATACAGATGTAAAAAACGTTGAATTAGCAAACGATTTAAATGTTTTAAAGTATAAAAAAAATATGTATTTTGGATTTTGCGGATTATATACACACGTGTGATCTAATGCAGCATGAGCCTGAAGCAAGACCCTTTCAGAAGTTCCAAATGCAAAACAGATATGCCGCAGCATGTTATTCTTTTGGGTCCCGTTTCAGCATCCGCCAAATAGAGTTACGAAATCGGGGAGTAACAACAACAACAAGAGCGACAACAAGAGCAACAATAAGAACAACAACAACAAGAGCGACAACAACAGCTACAACAAGAGCGACAACAACAGCTGCAGAAGCTTTTTAACTTGGCTTCTTTTTGGTTTTTGTTGTTTGAGCAGCGGAAATTATTATTAATTGCTTGGAATGCCAGGCCCAGGTTAAGGCTGTGGCTGTGGCTGTGACTGAGGCTGAGGCCCACGGCTTGCTACAGCTCCAACTGCCCGCCGGATCCCCCCTCCCAGCGCGATCTAATGGCTTCCGTTGGCGTGGCAGCTTCTGTTATGTTTGTCTAATAACTTTGATGACGTCAAAAAGCCCGTTTATATTCATGGCCAAAACGAGGCGCGAGTTCTTGGCCTCAAATTGAGAGCTTGTGTGTTTCTTGTGTTGGGCGGCTTGGATCAATTCTGTATGTGTGTGTGTGAATTATTTGGAGTATGTATGTTCAGGTATTCAGTTCATTGGCCTTGGCAACGATAGCGACATTTGACAGGCCCCCACCCACCCAACCAGACCCCTCGAAGCAGACAGCGTGGGTAACAACAACAATTGCGTGTACCTGAAGCTGGCCAAGCGTATCCAACTTAATGGCTAGTCTCTAGTCTCCAGTCCTCCGTCATCCACAACAAATGCAATTGCAATTGCCAATGCTTGGCAGTTGGAGTCCAGAAAAGTTTTGCAGCCGTCAAGGGAAATTTCGCCAAACGCCAACGCAGTTTGTTGCCATGTGGCCCGTTTTATGCGATTGACTGACTGCAGCGAGCAGCGGATGCAGACGCAGCCGAGTTGAAAGTGGAGCCCCAACTCTAACTCCAATTCCAATTCCAGGTCCAACTCTTACAGAAGACGTGCCAGCCTGTTGCACAGTTCAAGTCAAGGTGCGGCAGTTGTTGAAAACTTCCAGCTGTTGTGGCCCAGAAGCAGCACAACTCTGCCGGGTGAGGGTGTGAGGCGGCTGGGGTTGGGGTATACGCGATCCACTGGATGGGGACTATTGTATTACACAATGCAAGAAAGGTGAACGGACTGACATTTGCTTAATTATGCTTGAATGGCGGAACAAACCCTTTTTGGTACGCAAGCAACAATAATAGTATTAAATTGCCTAAATGTGAAACTGCAAAACATGTGTTTGACTAATTCGATTGATCACAGCAACTAGCAAAGCAATCGATAAATGCAATTGTGAATAATTCAAGTATTTGAATAAAGTTGTTAAAAATTAAAAAAAATTACATTTATTCATGAGTTTGGGTGTTAAACACTTAATCAATTCTGTATTACATTTATATTTATTCAGCAATTTACCTATGAGGAAAATTAAAAATCTTACATCAAACCTAAATCACATTAATAACATGGCAAATTATTTAGTCAATAAGTTTTAACGAACAATTCTGAATAGGAAATATCTTTATATTTAAAATAAACATGGCAAAACAATAAAATTCAGTTACATCAAACAGAACATTTGTCAAAAGAATACATTTTAGAACCTTAAATGATAATTTATTCCATATATAAATAGCTTTATAAAAACGAAATTTTGAGCAATATATATTTCAATTAATATCGATTAATTATACCAATCTAAACCATAATAGTATACCATAAAATTATTTTGTCATTGTTAATTATTTTTCCCATTGCTCACTGCTTTTTCCAAGAGATTTTTGCTTTAAGGCCGATTTTGTCCGCCTACTTATACAACTATATTAATTTTGATTCCTTCGCTTTGTCTGAATATTTTGGTTGAGTTTGCTCAAGATCAAATTACATTGTACATATGAACATATATATCGTACAGCTGCAACAATAAATATAGCAATTATATATTAAAGAGGGGAGCGGCCCATTTGATCTGCTATCCTTTTTCTGTTTTCTTTGAAAGCCCGTGATTTACTTTAAATATCCGCAAATAGACTGGAATCTAAATTTGTCTGTTCTTATGCAATCTACTATAAATATTATTTATTATTATTCGTTTGATTTTCTTGGACAATTTGAATACGCAACTGCAACTGCTGATCATTTAAACGTAATCAATTTTTAATTTCTTGCAGAGCACGAGTATCTCAACTTATCCATTTATCTGCCTCGTCGAGCGATTTGTTTGTTGTCTTTTGCATAATGTTTGTTTATTTTGACACATTCGTTTTTGTTGTTGTTGTTGTTGTTGTTGTTTGCTATTCGTTGTTGTTCGCTGCTGTGTTGGCGACTGCAATAAATAATTTCTTGTCCGCATTTCCGTAAACGTCGCATCGTTTGCCCCCAATTTATGGGCCTTATGTACATTTTGGGATTATTTTTAGGCACTTGGCTACTGCCAGCCGCAGTTGATCTGTTTGTAATTTGTTTATGGCAACTGTTGGCTCGATTAGATGCTGGCGTTGACAGCTTCACAGTTGATGAACTCTTTTGAGGCAGCGACAACGTCGCAACGTCGAGAGGCAACATGTGTGGCAGCGACAACTATTTGTTGATATTTGCTTATACCCTAACAGAAGATATTATGAATTTCCTGTGAAGTGGGCAGCACATTGAAAGGGACTTTTACAATGCCATACATATTGCTGATCAGCTTCAATAATCGATCTAGCCAGTCTAATATTTATATAGCCGTCATATTGAGCAAGAGATAAAAAATGATTTATAACCGATAAACTTTATTGGAAAAGTATCAATTTAATAATTATGAAATATTTAATAACATTGAAAATATTTGTCACAATTGTATCTATCGGTCCAAGTATCAATTAATGAATTATTAAATATAGAATAAAATAAGCAATGTTATTAACAAATCTATAAAATTTAATATAGAACATTGTTATTAAAAATTATAAACACTTTTATGTATCTCTCAAAGTATCAATTAATTAATAATTTAATATAGATATAAAGAGATAGATTCCGTTCCGTAAGGGTATATAAGCTTCCGCATGAAGAAAATATATAATTTTTTTTTTTTGGTTTGTTTTCTTCGTGCCTATGCCGCGTGGCAAGGCGGACAGCATGCGGCGCGAACAGTGACAACAACAACAGCAACAACAACAACAGCTCAAAAGTGAAAAACTGTCGGCTGTAATGATTTTGACCCTGAACGAATCTGAAGTGGTTTCGGGTGCTACTCTTTTGCGGCTGCACCGTCTGCCGCTGTCCCTCCAAAATGTAAACATGTCAGTACGGTGCGGAGTCGGGTCCGAGATATCGTCAACTATTTTTATACCCCCCACACATCTTAATAGGTTAACCAAAAAGAGGCATAGTAAAGCATAGAAATATAGGCATAAGTGTAATATATTTTATATATTTTTATTATTTTATTTTACAGTGATTGCTTGAAAACATAACGTTTTTTTAGGCAGAAAATACAATGATCAATTCAGATTGGAATTTCGAATACAAAATACTGATACACTGACCTACAGAAGTAAATTTCTCTTATAATATTTTACATTTTATGTTTTTTGATTTATACGCGAATAATGAATATGTGGAACCAAAGAAGAATTAAGTCCACATATTGTGTAAATTCAACATTATACAATTAGCCTCAAAGTTATTTGAAAACTTTGTATAAAGGGTAGCTTTTGGTCGAGATTTATCCGATTATGAGATTCCGATTGTAATTGAAACAGAAGAATTACAAATTTGTTGCCCTGCTGCCCACCAATTGAAGATAACCAACGGGGTGCAAAGATGATATCAAAATGATATCAAAATGATATCAGGCACGAGCGGAGAACAGCGCAACGAAATGATTTAGAGCAAATCAAATTGAATAGCAGCAGTGAAACAACTCGTATTGTAGAAGTTGGGGATCTGCGAAGATTACAAATGCAAAGAACAGAATTTGTTACAATTTTTAATGGTTATCGAAGAGAAAAGCAGAAACCCAAAGATAATTTTTAAACTATTTTACAATTTTAAACAGATATTGAAAGTTAATTATAATTTATTAAATACAATCAAAAAGGGATTATATTAAACAGGTATTGAAAGATAATTATACAATTTTAAGATATACAATAAAAAAAAGATTATAAATGGCTTAATAAAGAAACGGATGATAAAATCTTAAATGTATATAAGAGTAGCTTTATTTATTTATATAAATATAATGTTTGAGACAATTAATGGAAAATAAAACATTTAAGATAATTAATTTAAATATGTATAATATGCGTATGTAGAAATAATAATACCACGATACACAAATTCTGATAAGAAGAGCTAATTAAAGATTATAAATTGCATTACATTAAATCCTTGGTTCTCAAAGAAAAAGATTAAGATATAAAACGAGATGAAAGTTCTAAAAAGCTTTTAAGTAGACTTAGAAAGGCAATGAGAAGATTGAAAGTTAATCAATTGATTTAGTTGACGCCAAGCGCAGAATATAATAGGTAAGTCATAGAGGAGTTGTCAAAAGCTGATGGGTGAAGTGTATATTAAATATATACACAACCCTAAGCCAAGCCACTTAAGATTTCCGTCTCAGTGCCCACATCAAGGGAACCCCAGCCCAAGGCATTGGAAACCAGATTGAGGAGCAACTGCAGCGGCACTCCGGCCAACTCCAGATCATTCCGCACCACCCGATACTCGGGCAGAGCACGCACATTGGCGAGCAGAAGCCGGAACTTGAGGCTGCGAATGCGTCGCACGGCTGTGGCCAGCTCTCTATCCTCCACCAGCTGGCGACGATACAGATCCCGCAACTGGGCACGCGGCAGTGCATCGCGCAGATCCTGCAGCAATCCACGCACACCCCGGCGACGATTGGGCAAGGGACTGGTCACCGGCTCGGTGTTCTGCACATTGATCAGCAATCTCACGTACTCAATGTAATAGGTGTGGTTGAGCTTGAGGGACTGGCACACATAATCCCTCAGCGCGCCCTGCTCCTTGGTGTTGCGCAGTTGCCGCACGCGCTCCTTGAACTGATCGCTGCGCAGCAGCCTAAACAGGTCACTCACCTTGCCATCCTCGCGAGCATTGGCCAAGATGTTGCTCAAACGGGGCAAATCGAGCAGAGGACGGGCATTGCGGATCAGGCGGGTCAGTCCCTTCTCTGCAGTGATGGGACATACGTTGCCATCACGCGGTGCAGATTCCAGCATGTCCTCCTCCTCCTCCTCCTCCACCTCGTCCTCTTCCTCAACATTCTCGTCCGCCTCGTGCTGTTTTGACACCTCATCCACCTGCCTGGTCAGCTCTTTGTCTGGGTCAGCGCCCAGCGCCATTGGCAACCAGTTTACTTTCAGTGACGCCATCAATTGCTCCTCCTCGGGACTCGGCTTGCCTAGCTCTTGCAATGTAATGCCTTCATCGGGATACCCAAACGACGCATCTGTTGTGGCAACGTCCTCGGGCAGCTCAGTGGTGGCAGCCACCAGCAGCAGGCAGCAGCAGCTGAGATAGATGAGAAGAAGCTGGCACATGTTGCTATCAACTGGGATGCTGGGGGATGCTCTGTGTCTTTGCCAGAATGCAGCAACACCTTTTTATAGCAGCTGAAAGAATCAGAATCACAGCACAGTGCTAACTGTTATTTATCTGCTGTTTACCCAATACGCGTATTTGCCCAATATCTTTGCAGGCAAACAGAACAGCAGCAAAATCACAAGAAAACAAAACGAAAGTGGAACAACCTTGAAGCGTTTTCGGGGCTCATCAATCTTTCATATGTATAAATTGTATGTCATCAAAAGCAATTGCATTGTTAAACGAAGCTACACTCAGCAAATACATTGCTCTGATATTAAAAGTCTCAGTCCAAGAACGATAAATTGTTACTGGTTTCTAGAACGAACTTCGAAATATACACAAAAAAAAATGTATCTTAAAATTATACTTTTAGATTATTTTAGATTTGGAAGCAAGGCGATTTTCTACATTTCAGTGCGATTTTTTTCTGTGTATATAATTACACGCATGCAACATTTTTGCTGTTCATATTCTTGTAAAACTGTACTTTCTTTTTTGTTGTGAATTATTTATGACAGCAAGGTGCTAAGCTGCTTATGCTAGCTTTAGAAATCATCATCAATAATAAACAAACATAAACCATCAATAATATTTGAAGAAATTGACATTTGTCAAGGGTCCTAGCTACAAAATAAACAAATTTTTATGATGATTTTGTGCAGATATTGTTGACATGTTTTTAAATTCCACTCGTTGCATATTTGTCATTCATAATATAATTAATAACAATAACTATAAATTGTGTAAGGTTGTATAGGAATCCTCTAAGCACCTCATACAAAAATGTGACATTTTTAGCCACAAAAAGTTGTACAATCATTATAATTATTATAAACATTACAAATATTATAAACTTGAAAGACATGAAAACCATCAACACTCAATAATATACTAAAAGTCACCCAAAAATCATATAAATGGCCCATAAGGCCTCCATGGAGTATATTATATTGACGGCCCATTTAAAGAGCATCGAAACAACGAAAAGAATATGAGTCTCTCCAAGGGCAATAAAATGCGATTTGTGGCTAATTTATTCAACCGCAAACCTCAAGTTTGGCAAACGAAAATGGTCTTTAAGTTGCGCCCAAAACATGAATATTCATGTCGGAAAGAAACACTTATCCTTGGCAATGTCTATGCTGAAATGTTTCGCTCATTGTCAACAGGCCAAAAAAGGATACAAGTCAAACAAGTAAATCCTGCCGAGCTATGCAAAAAGCCATAGCATAAGGATCCCCAGCCTAATGACTCCCACATGAATACAGCGAAAATGTCTTTTTGGCTGAACGCCTTCAAAAATACTTGTTTTTTCATCCGTTTTTTTTTTTGTGCTTTGTTCAAATATAGCAACACAGGCCAAAGTGAAAAGGATGTCAAAATTATGTGGAGTCAACAAAATTTGAACAAAACATAGATACAAGGAAGACAGCATTTTTCCAAGCTGAGGGTGAGCTGAATTGATATTCTTTTCATATTCTCTAAATCTAAACAACATTTCATACATAATAATCAAGTAATTAAAAGTTTTATAAAAACTCATCTGCTTTTGAGTTATTTATTTCCGATTTTCTTGGCGTTTGCATAAGCTTATGATGAAGGGAGGGCAGTGCCACGCCCCTGCCACACAAGTATTTTACAAATTTCCAGAGTATTGTTTCCACTGTCATAAAAATGTAAAACCGCTGAGAAAGAGCCTTATTGATTAAGAGTTTCTTTGGCTGGTTTCAGTTTTATATTTAATGATGATAGCATTCAATTTGTCGAACATTTTTCTTTATTTTATGGTATTTCTCAAAATATATTATATTATTTTGTCAAAATGCATCTCAAAGTAATTATGCTAACATCAAATTTTATACTACGCTTTTCATTCAAGTTGTCAAGTCTTAAGGGTGTCTTCAATTTATTATTTGCTGACGTCAGCTTTCAAGTTGTCTGAAATTTTTCACTTTATGCAGTAAAAATGTATATTTTCGTATTATGTTAAAATATTTTGTCAAGATGATTTGAAAACCATCTTTCCATGAATCCAAGTTGTCGGAAATTTTCCTTGAAATTTAAATTTATATAAGTATTTTTTCAAATAACAGAATATGTTGTCAAGATGAATAATCCTTGAAAACAATCTTATCTATAAATACACTTACATTTAATTTTATTAATATCGAAAGTAAACTTTTGCAAATCCTTCTTTATGTAAATCTGCAAATAAGTCGCAGTTGAAGTAGTAGTAAAAATAACCAAATAACAAGGCTCAAAGTTGTGGCCACATAGGTAAATTCAAGGGTGCAGTTTTCCAAATATTCACCTGGAGCCAAGCCCAAAGCTATGCACAGTAGATACATAAATATGCGACTTTAACCGAAGCACCAACATAAATAAGCATTAAAACTTAAGGACAAGTTATGCAGACAGGAGGAGCCCCAAAAATAAGGAGCAGCTCCAAGTACAGTCACGCAAATGAGTAAATTGAAAAGCAAACGTTTGGCTTGAATTTGGTTTTTTTTGGGGTTGAGCTAGGAGCAGGGGGCGGAGAGCTGGCAGACACTAAGGACAACGCCCAGTAACAAATACTTGCCTATTCCCCCGTGGCCAGACAGCTGCATAAATATTTCATTTTGGGCTTTTACTTAATTGATTCTTAAAACCAAATCTATCAATTCGATCTAAATTTCATTTGCCATTTAATGGCATGTGTTGCTGCTTCTGCTGCAGTTTCTGATTCCTTTTCTGCTTCAATGTCAGTGAAAGATTTGCATTGTGTTCAATTTAATATAAAATGCATTCAATTAAGATATTTGTCGCCTCTAATGTGAGTCGAATTTTGGCCTGGCCTAAAGCAAAGAGTTCCTGTTAACAGCTCGAATTGTAGCTGGCTATTTTTTGGGGAGGCTCTAATGCAATATGCAAATCACAAAGATGACGAATGGTTTGTTTGTCACAACAATTATGGGGGAAATAAGCGAAAAACCATTGAACTCGATCAGAAATGAAGTCATCATTTAAAGCACTTCAATGGGAAGCGACTTTTAAATACCCGTTTAAGCGATTCTTGTTTATACTTATTTATTTTGGATATATATCCATTGCTTGCATATGATTTTTTTCTCTTGAATTTAAGCTTCCTTAAGTGTATCTAATCATTTTCTATAGATTAAATGGAGTATACTTCAAGTAACGAGCCTCTTTCTGCCAAATCAACATTTTATTTTGCACACAAATCTTAATAAATTTGATTAAGCCTATTCAAGCATATCCAGCTACACGTACACACACACATGTGTGTGTGTGATTAACCTTCTTAGTAATTCTCCTTGCGCATTCTGCTTACCAAAACACATTTGAATGCCACCAAAATTTGTTTATTATTCAAATAGGGTCCTAAATTGAATTGCTTAATTATCGCGGATAACGGCCCCAAAGATGCCATATGAGAAATGTGCAAGACAACCGCATTAAACTAAAGGAATAATTGAGTGTATTTAGATTAATACAATGGACTTAAGTTGGTGCTGTATAATTTTGCAAAATATAAAAACAACAGTTTTTTAGCAAGTATAGAAAGCAACAACAAAGTATAAAATATACATAAATACTCTCATTAGATTAAAATATTAGAAATTCCAAAAATTACAAGTATACACAAGGCGGTAATTTTAAAAATTATTTTACCATTCGACTCCACACGCACAGCTGATTTCCAAATGTAATTAGTGGTCTGCCCAATTATTTAAGCTGGGCACCCTTGCAAGTGGCATTTCTCATGGTTTGTTGTATATAATTAATTTTAAGGTCCGATTATATGCTGCAGATAAATTAGATTAGATTATTACAATTACCAAAAAATAAATGTTCAAAATTATAGTCACCAGACCGCCTATTGCCATGCGACTCACACGCACAGCTGATTTCCCAAAAACCCAATCTATGGTCACCCTTGTTAGTGGCATCACTCATGTAATGTGCTCGCTGTTAAGTAACATTTCTGCCAATGTTATGGGTTTGTGGGGTGACCACAGACGGCATTGCGTTGAAATGAAATAGCCGCCATGGACCAAAGTGAGTTTTAACCGAATTGCATTTATTTATTTTCAACACGTTTATTCTTTTGCAGCAGTCGATACTAGCAATGCGATGTCTGAGCTGGAACAGACATCGTCCCTGCTCAATCACAATGTGAGTTTCAACAGCAGCATGGAAATGACACTCGCAAATACTTCACCGGTCGCCAAAACAAATGGAAATTCCAGTTCTTCTTTGCCGAATCTCAGCTTCAGTCTGAGCGAAACGGAACGCAACAAGCTGATACTGTGCCAGATGCTACCAGCGGATAACATTACTAACAACAGCCAGGAGGAGGAGAGCGAGCTGGAAGAGAGCGAGCGGGTGATAAGTATCGAAGACACACTCGACGATCAGTCGGCGGGAAATAGCACAAAGCAACCTGATCAGTCGCAATTGACTGATCAATCGCAACTGGTGGACCAGTCGCAGCAGGAGCAAGTGGGCAGTGATACGGTTACACCGGCAATTGCATACTTTCAGCAGGCGCTGATTGAGTTGGGTCGCCGCTGCTGGTCGTCGTCGGCAGAGGCGCAACATTACACGAAGGGCTGCTACTGGTCGCCAGATGGCACTTGTCTGTTACTGCCTGTGCATTTGGATGGCATGCATGTGATGGAACTGCCCCTGGATCTGTACAATGCCGACTGTGTCACAATGGAGCGTAGTCTGTCCCAGCTGCAGTCGGCCGTTCATGTGCCGGAGGGCGGCACCGTTTACGATTGTGTCTGGTATCCGCTGATGAACAGCCAACAACCCGACACCTGTCTGTGAGTAGACGTACTAGCATAAACTCGAAATTGAAAACAGAGTGACCATACTAAGCTGAAAATCTGGCCGTTACTAATTGAAACTCTCGGCTCTTAGCTGGCTGGCGACGCGTCAACACGAACCCATCCACATGTGGGACGCGTTCGATGGGAAGCTGCGCTGCAGCTACGCCGGCTACGACGCAGTGGACGAGGTGGTGGCCGCTATATCGCTGGCCTTCTCGCAGGATGGCCAAAAGATCTATGCGGGCTACAAGCGCTGCATCAAGATCTTCGACACGAATCGACCCGGTCGCAGCTACGATGAATATGCCGTCAAATTTGCCGTCTCCTGCATCGCTCAGACGTCAGAGCATCCGCAGACTGTCACGTGTGGCAACTGGCGTGGCTACATCCAGCAGTACGATCTGCGCTGTGCCCCCAAAGTGGGACCACTCTTTACGCTGGGTGGGCACACAGGCGGAATTACCCAGCTGCGGTATGTGAATGATGCCGGAACAGGAGGAGGAGGAGGCGGCAACTGGCAGCTGTTTAGTGGGGCACGCAAGTGTCCCAAGCTGTTGCAGTGGGACATGCGTAACTATAAGCAGCCGCTGCGCGAGTTCCAGCGCTTGGTGAACACCAATCAACGCATCCAATTCGATTTGAGTCCACAGCAGCACTCTTGGCTTGCAAGTGGCGACACCATGGGTGTGCTCAATCTGTGGCATCTGGAGAAAGAGGCCAATACTAAGGCGTTGCAGTTGCCGTTGCACGGTGACTGCTGCAACGGCATCAGTTTCCATCCCACCCTGCCCATCTTGGCCAGCAGTTCGGGGCAATATCATTTCATACAAGGCGAGAATTCCACGGATGTGAATGGCACAACGATACTCGATTCTACCGAGGATCAGCAGCAGATGGAGCTGGAGCAGCCGTCTGTCGTTGATTACGAGAATGCAGTTCTATTGCTGTGGTGCGGCGACGGCAAAGATAGTTTACATTGTTAACGTTTTTATTCCATCTTGTTGAAATAAAAAACAATTTTAGAATGTAAATCTTATGCGACGAGTGTTTTATTATTGCCAGCACTGTAAAAGAACTTTTGAATTGAAGTTATGATAACAATCATTATTAATTTAATTTAAAAATTTTATATATCATTCCATTTTTCACTTATTGTGGAAATCATTAAATTTCAAAATTATATATAGCATATGACAATCGATATAGTACAGAAAAATATATAGATTTCAGAAATTTAAACTACAGAAGCAATTTTATAAGAGAATTGTTATATTATAAACTGAACAAACAGTTTTAAGTTCCAGTTATGTCTCAGAAATTAGTGTCCAGCAGCCAAATTTGTTGTGAAATGAGACTGCATTTATTACCAATTATAATTATCTAATTTGAAATGAAAATGCATTAATTACCAATTATAAATATTTCATTTATTTTATTTACGCATTTTTATTATACATTCATTATTAGAATTCACTTATTTTCATTCATTTAGTGTGTAAACTTAGTTTTAAAATAATGCATGAACCTAAAATAAAACGTTTGCATAGGCTGCATTTGTTTTTTTTTTAATTAAGAGAGAACCTTTTTATTTTTATTTTGGAGAAACAAAAAAGTAACCGCACTTTCCTCATAAAAAAAGATTGTTGTTTATTTCGTTGGTTATTGATGTTGGTTATACATTAATATATAGTAGTATATATATCGTAAATTGAGTACATATCGAAGCGTTTTTATCAATTGAATTGATTTTATGTTTTATGTTTGCATTTAGTTTTTCTTGTTGGAATATGCTTTAAGTTTTGCACTTGTCCTGACTTGTGGGGGCCGTGCTTGCTGTGTTTGCTTTATTGTAGCTGTACTGTACTGTACTTTACTGTGTATGTATGTATTTATATTTATATATGTATGTGTTGATTTATAGTAGTCATAGTTAAGTTACAGAATTAGTACACATTTATAACTGTATGTGAATTTAAATTTAAGCTAAATTCTCAGCGCTATATTTTGTTGCACTTTTGCCAATTAATCGGAAAACGAGTTTTTGCAACTGATGCACAAAATTTGCCTAAGAATTAATACATTAAATTTCCCGCCCCTTCCCCAGTAAATTTCATTTAAACCATTTTTTGAGGCCGAAAATCTGCGCCATCTTCAGCTTCAACTTCTTTCTAAATATAACTTGACGTTAGACAAAATATGCATTTATTTTATTTTTATTATGTATTTCAATTTCTATAATATAGATTTATATATATATATTTATTTAAATATATATATATATATTTATAGGTATATTAATGCCTAAAGTGTTTAAATTGTTTATGTTGTGTAAATGAAACGAAAAGGTTGTGTTTTGTTTTACTTTGTATTGGATTTTTATTGAGTTTTTTTTGTGTTTTTTTTTTGTTTTCTTTTTATATAAGCATTTTTTATGTATCTTTTCTGTTTGACATTTATTATATAGATAGAAAATGCGAACTTATACAAAAATGTTATTAATGTTAATTAATGTCCAGCTCGCTACATTTTAAATTAAGTTATGCAGTTGGGCATCTTTAAATAAAAAATTGATATACATTTATATTTTATTTCAATATCTTTCTTCAAGCAAAGCATACGAAAACGACAGGCAAATACAATTTGAAAAACATGTATGGCATTCAATTAGTTGCAATTGATAAATGCTCTGCAAATCAATTGAGAATACATTTGACATACGAGTGTTATATCATTTAAAAGCATGGCAAATCACATTAATCATTCAATAATTATTTTGTATACATTTAAAAAGAACAAACTTAAAATCAACTATAAAAATAAATTCACATAGACCAAATTAAAAGTGACATATAGAAATTATTGAAAAATTTAAAATCTGTAAAGCAATAAAATATCTATGAAATCGTTAGATCTTATTGTTAAATGTTTTTTGTTTTTGTTTTTTTCATTTGCGATTTGTTAGTTGTAAACTTGCTTTACTAAATGTATTTCGTATTAATTTGCAGAATGCATTCGCTTTTGTAGAATAGTGTAGAGTTGACCATTAAATGTTTTGCTTTTACTTAATTTTTTTTTTGGTTTTTGTTTTTTTTGTAGTTGTAGTTGTTTGTGATGTTGTTATTGTGTTGTTCTTCTTCTTGGTTGCCTGCGCTTTGCTCAGCAAAAATCTTGTTTGTAATTTTCGTGTTCGTTTTTTTTTTGTTTTCTTTCGTTTTGCTTTGTTTAATACTTGAAATTTTTGAAGCAAATCAGTTGTTGCTTAAGGGATTCTGGTTTAAATACGTGTTGTAGTTTTTTGTTCTCCTTTTTCTTTTTCTTTATCTTTTTCTTTTTTTGTGTTCTCGTATGTGTGGTTGTGTGGTGTGTGTGTGTGTGTGTGTTGCAGCCGCCGCTGTGCGCTTTATTGAGAACGCTCTACGTGCCCCATTCTCAGCAACGGCAATTTCATCCACAGCAGCAACCATCGCTCTTAACCCGACGAGGCAATGGGACTCTGCTGCTGTCCATCCACATCCTGGGTCTGGGCCTTGTTCTGACGCACAACCTCAGCGCGACGTTCCTGCAAATGGGACAATCATTAGATATATATACAAATTATATGCAAATGTGGTAAAGAACTGCTACAAATGAACGGCAGGCAAATGATACAAACGAAAGCAGAAGCAAATACATTTTTTATTTTATTTTCTTGTTTGTGTTTTGTGTGGGAAGTTGGTGTTGTAGGGTGTGTGGGGTAGAAAGGGGGGTGGGGGCGAGTGGTGACCTACAAGTTTTTGAACTTTCTCAATTTTCTTGAGCAATTCCTTTTCGCGATTCTGCTCGGCGGTGTACAATTTGTTTTCAATAATGCGCGCTTTCTCCTCGATCTTTTGATTTTCCAATTGATTGTTCTGCGATTTGATTTCAGCAATTTTGATTGTGTTCTAAATGAGATCGAAAGAAAAAAAATGACAAAATCCGACAAATTATATCGATGGATAAAAATCAAAACACTTGGTACACAAGACAAATATTAGTTTTATACCTATTTGACACCATTAACCATTTATTGGTCTTTAAAAATAATATTCATATCTTAATTAAATATCTAAAATGATTAGTTTGCAAATGATAAATGATCTTAATTCAATTCCTATTGTTACTATATTTTAATAGTGAAAAAATAGATCAGAAAAACAAATAAAAAGGATTTAAATTTAAAGACGATTAAAATAAATTATAAGTATTTAACTTTGCTGGAGATATTAAAATAAAAACATGTAATTTTCATTGCTGCACAGCGACTCTTCATCCTTAAGCGCAGTCGTTAAAGGAAAGGATTATATGGAGGCACTGCAGCTGAGCGCCGATTTGGATTTGGATTTGTTGCGTCTTGCTGCAGAGGTATACAATTTGGCAGTGAAGCCGGACCTTCAACAGATTCCCATTTGCGTGTCTTCATTAACTTTAATGCTAATGCCAAGCATTGCTAATGACGGCAATTTGAGCTACTTGGATCTAACCAAGGCCAAGCTGCCAGTGAGTATATTTGGTGGACAACGCTTGCAGTGGCTGCAACGGCTACGGGTCGGATTCCGACACGCCGTCAGCTGTTTAAGGAGAATTTTCAAAAGCACAAGCGCCAAAATCTTACTGCGGAGAATGCCAAGGTTTAGGCCAAAGGTCAGTTGGCAAAAACAGACAAAGCGAAAAACAGACGATCGTTGGCCAAGTGGCCATAGTAACATTTAATGATGATGATGAGGAGGAAAACCAAGCGTACAAAATTAGTTAATTCTTTTTATTTTTATATATAAAAAAGATTAATTAAAAAAAAAAAATTTATTAAATATATAAATTGTTTTGTTTGAAGCAGATAATCATAATTTGCAGGTAATAAAATTAAAAAAAAACTTGAATAAATGTGAAAATGATTATTTCTGGTGAAGGGGATGAGATTCAATAAATAAATGAATAGTTTAAGAAAGTATGCAATGTATAAAATTGTTTGTAAATCAAGTTGAGAACGAAATAATACAATAACTAATAAGTAAATAACTAAAATGAGTACAAGCGATAAGCTAAGCTACAACGAACAACAATTTTAACGACATGCACAACAAGTATTAAACATTTGCCACTGCCACCAACAAAACTCACATGCTCCTTGAGGCGATCCAACATTTTCTTGATGTTCTCATCACGCAAGGCCTGAGCGGTCTTCAATTTCTCCTCGATGGCCTTCTGCTCGTTGGCCTTCTGCTGCTCCAGCGTCTCGCGTGTTTTCTCAATATCCTGGGCATGAATCTGTATACAAAATGAACCAAACAAAATGAGAGCATTTCAAATTGATTGCCAGAGAGGAGGAGGAGGAGCTGGCTAAAAAAAAATGAGGCTCACCTTTAGCTTTTCCTTCAAGTCGCTAATAATGGCCTCACGCTTCTCCACATGATGCTCCATTTTGGTCTCGAGCTGCTCCTTGGTCTGAGTTATGAACTCGTTGGTAATCTCATCCTTTTTGCGTGTAGCCTCCTCAACCTTGGCCAGCTTTATGGAGATCTCGGCCATCTTGCGGGCCTCCAAGGACTGCAGTGAAAGGATTAGCCAACTGTCAATCGATCTTTATGACAACTTTAATTGCAATTGATTTCACTTACAACGCGACGCTCCTCGGCTGCCTTTAGCTTCTGCTCAATCTCCTCGACGCTGACATTTTTGCCCGGAGTGACGGGTCGCTTGGGCACGGCCACATTGGGTGCCGGCTCGGCCAGGATGACCTCATAGCTGAGGCCGCCGCGCGACTTCTCCTGGCAACGGATCTCAGTGGCTGCAATGAGCAAGACGAAGGCAAGACAACCCCGTTAGTAATTCAATATTTGTACATTTTGCGAAAAGGGGGCGCTGCTCACTATTGTTCCTTATATACCCCCTCCCCGCCCCATCCTACTACTTATATACTTAGTAGCTCGGGGTAATTTGGCACGCACACAAGTCACCCCCAAGCTGCCACAGCTTGACGTCATTTCGTGCAACTGCTTGGCAAAAAAAAGGGACAGTAATCTGCGTTGTGGCCAAGTTGTTCGACCCTTGCAACCATGTAGAAACTAGTTGGAAAACTAAGTCTACACATCAAATATTTACTAGAATAAATTATTCAATATACGTCGAAGATGTTCTTGAAACTAAACACAAAATGTTTTGAATATTGAAAATGTATATAAATTCAGTTTCAAGGATAAATTCAGATCGAATAAGATTATACAAATTTAACTGATAAAGAAAAACAAAATCTTGACATTAAATATTTGCTAAAAATATAAATAAATCAATATTCAGCGAAGAGTTGCTTAAAACTAATTTTCTTAAGTCAATGTTTTGAATATTAAGCTTATAAATCTAAATTGTTTTATATAATATATATTTTAATTAAATTGAATCAAACTTGTATTTTGCACACGACTATTCAGATTTAAATAAAAGAAAAGGAAATAGTTGCTGACTTAAATTAATTAATATTCGTCGAAAATGTTCATAATATTCAATATTAATTTGAATAATATTCTCGCAAATTTTGAATCAACGGACGTCTGTCGATTATTATTCAAATTGAACAACATTCTAAAATCAATTTAAGTGCATATTTCTGTGCAACTTATTCACTAACAGAAGAAAAAGAAAATAAAATATGTGCCACATTTACAAGCCGGTGCACAGAAGTCGCACGAGTTGACCAGCTCTTAAAAGCGTTGCACGTTGCACGTTGCAGCTGTGCGCACACTTTGCAATACATTAACTTCTGCTGCCATCTTTGGCCTCGGTTGCTGCGGCTTTTGTTGCACTTTTTTTCAATCGTAGCTATGATTAATGTGCAACGCGATTCGCAAAGCATTTGTGAAAAGCATTTTCACACTTTTCATGCGGCCATACATCAAACACACACACCACAACACACACAACACACACACACACACACCACAACACACACACACACCACAACACACAACACCCATACACACAAAAGTTGGCAAAAAGCAGTGTGAAAAAACCGCTGACAATGACGAGCCCGGAACAACAATAAATTCCTGTGTACAATTATGATATTAAATGCAGTGGAAAATGCATTTTGCAGCTGTGCATTAAATGGAAATGCCTTAAAAATAACTACTTCAATTACAAGTACGATGGAAGAAAAGCACAGATGTAGTTTAAAAGAATTGAACTGAGTAAAACATTCATTTGCTGCAATAAAATAGAGATTGTTAACCAAGTTTGTCATTTGAATGCTAAAACAAACAAGCATCAATCAAAACAGGAAAGAAACTCCCGATTATTCACCAAACTAAAGCAATTGAGATAAGTCGAGTATATAACTTTAGTTACGACAATGGGCAATATCGCAGACACACACACAAATTGCATAAAGGAATTGCAGATCTAAGCAAAATAGAGCCAAGCCACAAGGAAGTAGCTGCCACAAAAAACAACCCCGAATCCAAGCAAAATAAGGAGAACGAACAGAATAAGCCAAGTTTTGCTCGGCTATCAAATGAAGTGGAAAATTTGTTGTCAAAACAGACAGCAGCCAGGAGGGTTGAGTGGGGGAAGGGGCAGTGGGGAGTGGGGTAGTGTATATGTATATTGATGTTGTGTAGGTGTTGGAGCGAAATGTTCCATCAGCAGAGTCCGTCTGTGCGTCCAAGCAGCTGTTGACACATAATTTGCCATTAATAGAGAGTGTCAAATACAACTGATTTTGGTTTTAGGTTTGGGTTTGGGTTTGGGTTTGGTTGTCGGTTCTGTTTCCGCATCGATTACGGTTTAGATTTGGCTTTGCGGCTACCACGCAATGATTGAGTGGAAGAGCAACAATCAGCAGCAGTACCAGCAGCAGCAGCAGCAGCAGCCATAAGCCCAAAGGTGAACCACAAGTGGGCTAAAAGCATTGACTGGGCTTAAATGTTTGCCCATTTGACTTGCAAATTTGCGAAACCCTTTTCTTTATGCAATGCAACCATTTTAAAAATGGCTAAAAAAAAAGAAGTCGCAGCTAGTTGTGAAATTGCACAAGTATACAGAAATATATATTCATATATATTCTAGATCATATATATATTTAAGATCTGGCAATAAAAATAAACTGTCTGACGATCGGACAATAAACACAGAAAGGATTATCTTTCTTTAGTCAGATAGAATGCAGCCAAAAAATTCGTTAGACAATTAAACAGTCGGACTCATTTAATTTGAATTAGCGTACAGGGCATCTGCCAGTTGGGCAATCGAAAAAAGGAGATGAAGAAAACCCATACGAAGGGGGCAGGCAATCTGCTAAAGTGGCACGACTCGGACCGGCAATCAGGCTAAGAGCCAACAGCCAACAGCCATTGCGTACTCACATTTCTTCTGCTCATTCATTTGATTTAATATGTCCAGCAGATCGGGAGCATCCGTGTGCCCCGCATGCTTCTCGAGCACATGCAACTGCAGCTCCTCGGCGGTGAAGCCAAGCTCGTGACAGAAAGCGCAACCATAACTTTGAGGCGCCTCGCCATCGACTAGCTCCTCGCCATAGAAATACAGTTCGAAGAATTGGCGATTGTAGATGGCCTTCATGGGATGATAGTATTTGTGCATGCCACACGTCTTGTTCTTGCCACCACCGTGACACTTGTCGCAATACGTCACAGACTCCCCGCAAACGATGCACTCGTAACGCAATCCCAGATCCCCCTCGGCTGGACAGCCCAAACACTTGCTGCTCTTCATCGTCTCGTCGCTCAAAGACATTATTAATTTGTTGACTTTGGTATATATAAAAAAAAAATAGTTAAATAGAACAAAAACTAAATGAAAACTCTCACGACTGCTTCTTAACAATTTTTTCTTTTTTTTTTGATGATGTGTGTTTTTTTCGAATGATTTTTCAATTTTATAATTTTACATTTACACTGCGTTGATTGCGAGCACAATCTGAACAATGAAAAGTTCAACACGAAACAAGCAAATTTGACGTTTCCTTGGCGTTGCCAACTTGATCAAAATTAAAAATAGGTGTTGTGTAAGACAGCAGTTTATCGATCAAGAAACGAACCGTAAATTTGTATTCCCGTTAGGCAGACTACTAAAATTAGGTATTCAGATTTATGGTGATTTGTGTATGTTAAGATAAAAAGACTTGTAGCATATATGAGTATTATAACTGCGACGACAAACGACAAAGAAGTCTTCAGACCGTTTCGCAACACTAACAAATGTCATGAGCCACGTGGCGAGAGCTCTTCACCAAGTTTAAATACAGTTCGCTTTAAAACTGTAATAACGAAAGCTCTTTCTTGAACTCTCCCTTGTCTGGGAATCTATTTAGATTTGCAATAAATCGTTATTTATTCTCAATATTGCATAATAGTTCGACTCACAGATATGAAATGAATAAGATAAGATTTAGCCATCTTATCTATGTAGACATCTTTTGGGCTCTTTTGGCCAAGTAAATAAGTCGACCACAAAAAAGCCAATCGATTTTGTTTGTTTTATTAAATGGAAATATTTGTTTCATTTCTAGTTTTCCCCATTTTCAGTTCCTGTATTTGTTTTGCTTTGCTCTGTAATATGTAGCAGATTTAATAATCAAAATAATCATCAATTTCATTGGTTGAATCCGAAAACGATGGGTCCCAATCATCATCGTCATCATCCCACTCGTAAACGGCGTGATGAGGTATACCATATGGATGGCGCTCATACATATCTGAATCAATGTCCATCATACAGGGTTCATCATCAACGTGTTGAGTTGCCTCTTCGTCGTCCGAGATCATCTCGGGCACAGTCATCGAGTACTCGTTGCCTGCTACAAATTCGCTGAACCATTTCTGATCCTGATTGGCATCGTTTATGCTTTGATTTGGGAATTGCAGAGCTCCTGTTGGTAGTGGCGCCACCAAACTGAGCTCCTCGTCGGCAAGCATGGAGCACAGTAGTGCCTCAATAAAAGGCCCACGGAGATTTGGTGGCTGCTCGCCAAGTGGCGCCTCGGCGGCAAACTGCAAAAACGGTGCGCACAAAAATTTATTCGTTTCCACATTCAAATTGTCAATTTCTCCCGTTTTGTTTTTCTCATCAGGATTATTCTCACTGCTGCTGCTGGTCGTGTTTGCGTTGTTGTTGAATCCACGCAAGACATCCGCATAGCAAATGGTGCTGCTTGCATCATCATTGAGACGGTTCCACGGCAGCCGCTCCTGATTGCGATACCCCAACGATCGGTAGTGCTGCTGCTGCTGCAGTTGCCGGACTTGCAGTAGCCGCAGCTCTTGCAACTGAAGTTCCTGCTCGCGTAGCTGCTGCTGCAGCTGCTGTTGCAAACGCTGCTGCGATGGCGAGGTGTGAGCCCAGTCGGGTATAAAGTCGCACGTAGAAGGTGGCTCCATATTCATGCGGCGCACTCGACCCCTTCCTGATCCGTCATTCGACCGATTGGGTAACTCGAACTTTATCGTTGGCATCGATGATACCGTATGATAGTTCTCCGGGAAATTCGCCACGCGCATCTTCTCGACCTTCTGCCTCATCAAGCGCATGTAGACCGATTGTGACACTGACAGATTGAAGCCCATAGCAGCTTCATCAGCTGCCTTGCGACGGGCGAGAATCAGTAGCGAGTAGACAAAGTAATCACCGTGCTTGGCATGCACAGAATTGACATGCGCTTCGAGGGTGTAAAGGTCAAGTCCGTTCATGTCGCACATGGCACACTTGTAGCTCTGGGGCACCTTATCGGCTTGATAGGGTTCGCCGCCAAAATAGAGCTCGTACTCGGCAAGTGTATAGTGCACGTCCAGGTGATGGTAGAACATGTGGCCGGGCATTGCCGGCAAGTCGCCAGAGTCGTAACATGTGCCACAAAGCTGATAGTTGGCGCACTGCCAGCAGGCGTAGCGACGACCGGCAAAGGAACTCGCCTTGCACTTGCAACACTCGCTGCCCACATGCCACTTCGGCGGCGGCTCAGTGACGGGCACCATTTCTACTAAAACAAAAATGATCGTTAGGATTTTGATCAGAGATCAAAAATGGTGGCTCAAAAAGGGGTAGCAAATAGCAGAAGTGATCATACAGTGGTACTTCGCTAATTTAAACTTGCTACAATTCAAAATCACAATTTGAATGTTTATATATAACCATAACAGAGTCATTGGTTATAATGAACCGAGTTTTTGCGCAAAATATATCTGTTCCATCTCTTGCCCTTGCACTATTAAACTGATAATGATAATATTGTTGATAATAAACGGTAAAAATAATAGCAGAGTTCGGGATAGTGCTTCGAAGCTTTGAAAATGTTTGGTAATAATTTCATTACTTGAAGACAAATCTTACAAGGAACAGTCCTTTTCATTATTTTTTATATATATGAATAAGTTGTCAATACTCATGGATTTTGGGGGAGCGATTCGACTTAGTAAATGGAAACTGAACGTAAAAAATAAACAGTTCAAGCTTCCTTAAGAAAATATAACCTCAAAACACGTGGCCCTAAAAATGTTCCAGCATAATTAAAAGTGCTCGGCTTTCGAATAATGGATTAAAACTGGCATGGATCTGTACGTTTATGTTGGAATATTTGATTTTAAAAACTTGAAATAGGCAATAATTGTACTTCAAGAATCGAATAATTCTAATTTGCTAGCAACCACGTGGAAATCCCTATAACACACACACACACACACACATACATATGTGTGTGTACATTTGCATTTGTATATGTGAATGCATTTTTTCTTCTTGCAAAACAATTTGTGCGAAAGGGTTTTTGCTATCTGCTACGCTTTTGCCACCAAATAACAAAAATAAAAGTACAAATTACTCACTTGCTCTTGAATTAATCAGAAATTAGAACGGCAACGATTTTATTTGCAAATTGTTTCTATTTCTTTGTTCTTTTTTTTTTTTTGTCTGACTCGCCACAACCTGCGCCGTTAAACACAGCTGGAAACAGAAAAAGCACACAACGCGTTCCACAAAATCGACAAGATCCACAAGCGACTTGCGCCGCACGTGTTGCCAGATAGTGAGTTTTGACTGACTTAAGCACGTGAATCGCAATGTTAATTGCGTTTTTTCCTTGTATTTCTTCGAACAAATTTTACAATTTACAACGAACTTTAAGTCTATAAAAAATATGAAACTAATGTTTGTCGTTTCATCAATTTATATTGTGCAGACGCCTAACTTTGGAGAGCTGTCGATGACTCTCAACTACTCATTTTAACATTTTAACATGTTAACATTTTAGACAATAGGATTTCGTTCACATTTCCAGGCTTAACATTATTTATCGATAACAAACGTTGAGCCCAGTACTCAGATCGATCAAAAATGCGACTTGCAAAAGAGTTTTGTGGATGGTATGAGAATCATATGAAATGAATATTCAAATGCAGAATGTATAACAATATCAAATGTCTATGTTTATTTTATTCAATAAATCAATGTAAACATTATACGGCTGCTCTTGTTATTAACTGAAAAAAAACCCATGCAAATATGTACACACACACACGCATACACACACATATTTACGCTTGTTTTGATTATCGCAGAAGTGCACGCAAATACACACATACAGATGTATTTATCTATACACACAGAAAATAGTTAGGGAGGAGATAAATATGAGAATACGCTTTGGGCCATGACGTGTGTTCGATATTATTAAAAGTTGTACAGTTCCTCAATAATATGTCGAGGTATTTATTATATATTAATTGGGAGGGGGAACCATTAAAATTGCGAAAAAAAATTGATTTTTATCGGTATTTGCAAAGCTGGCAAAATATCGATAAAGTAAAATATGGTTGGTTCAGGGAAACTCATTTTCCAAATTTAAAGTCTCTAGCTCTTTTTATAAACTCTAAGATCGGTTTGCTTAACTAGATCAAGACTCGGCTGTTGATCCTGACCAATAATATACTTTATGGGATGCTCACTTCGGCCTTGTACACAATTTTGCAAAAATCAATACTCATTTTTAATGATTTCAGATTATACATATTTAATTATATTCTTGAGAACAATTAAATAAAAAAGAATTCATATTGGGTTTAATCACGTAACGTCATAAAATATGCATTCAGTTTGTATGTAAGTTATAGTCAACCATAACCGTGTGTAGTGATATATGTGTGTGTGGCCAGCAGGACTTGATAGCGGCACACACACTTATATATGGGTAAATCTAAAAACTCTCATTAACATAATAAGCATCATTATAAAAACTTAAAGCAGCGTAAAATGCAGCTATATAAAAGCACACACACATACCAAAAGTTGACCTCAATTAAAATAATTTTGCACTTTTTTTTCAAAAGTTTTGCCAACTTGCATTTTACATTTATGCGAGTGTTTTAGGAGAGCCGTTGAAATTTCACGCTTTTAATTAAAAATGCCATCGTGGCCAGGAGAAGAAAAAGCGTCGAGAACAGAAAGAAACCCCAACAATTTGTGCTAAATGCAGCTTAGAAAATTGTACTATAAATTTTTAAATGATTTTAATTGAAATCATTTGACAAGTGTTGATGACATGATTTACATTAATTACACACATATCAACCCACACACTCACATACACACACATGCAGACACAAAAGGCTTTTCAGGCTTGGCCTCGAGCGACAGATGCGCCCCAAAAATCTGCTTATGACAGCTGAAGCGATTTGTCAGACTCCAGAAGGGGTCAACAAAAGGGGGTTTGTCTACACCACAAGTGGAGAAGCTGGGAGGGAGGGGAGGGGCGTCAGGGCATACTATGTTTGTCTTCTGGCGCTGGCACTGCACAAAAAGCCAAAAGGCCGACACAAATACACAAATTAAGCCATGTTCAGAGATACTCAATTAAATCCGCCCAAAATGCAAAAAAAAGTTGGGCTGAACTGCGTGCCAAAAGGATTAAATGGCATTTTTGGGGTTAAAGTTGGTTTAAACACCCTGTGGTGTTCAAAATTATTTAAATGGATGTTTTTGAAAACTTCATACTTTTACTGCATATTCCAGTTTGTAATAAATAAAACCGTTTCTTTTTATTACAAATATTTTATTTTATTTAGTCTAGACCAAATCTACAAATCCACGTCAAGTAACATCAAAAAATATGTATAATAAAACAACTGATGATAATAAAATGTAAAATGGTCGAACATCGATTGCAATGTTTAGAAAAAAAAAAACCCAATTATGCCAAATGATGAATGATTTATGATTATTACTAATATTATTGCAGTAGAGACTGTGCACTGTGACTTCCTGGATTTATTATTGGGTTAGTATAATAAACAAATTATAATTCGAAATGAATCACTATAAAATGAAAATTCTTTCATATAAATGCAAATTGAACTGTCTCCGACAAAATATTGTTGTGGATTAAGCCCGGATCGAAAGCTGATTTAACAAGCAATAAATAATTGTAATATCTGAAATGATTTTCTATAAAATCTTATGCTACGCTCTCATCCGCTAGGATTAAATTACATTTTTTAAATGTTTTTAGGACTGCACTCTCTTTTAGTTAAATGTGTTTAAGTGCTCAACTTTGTATTGTATTCCCATATTTAATGCTCAACTGAGCCAATTAGCTAAGTAGTTTCATAAATTCTAATTGCTGCACTCGAAGTAATGGAATAATTGCGAAAGTTATATAAAATACAGAGCAAGAAAAAAGTTTTATTTTGCAGCCCAGAATTGACAAATTTCTGCGAGATTAAATTGTAACATCTCCAATTTATATATGAACATAAATGTAAGGAATTTCACTATAGAGCAAAGACATCACACTAATTTAAGTGCTTTACGACAAAGTGTAAAAGCATTTACAATAATTATTCCTTAGCACAGCTAAAACAGCAGCTAAAGTTGCAGCACAAGCAATAAAAGTCTGGCAAGAAAATACATACATATTTGTGTAGACTTCTTTTGCTATGGGAATCTTGATAAGTGTCTGCTTAATATTCATAAAAGGATTTTAATTTGCATTTAATTAAATTATTGCGTACCACTTTTGATGGTTTCTCGTTGGGGTTGCACGAAAAGGACGGTGAACGGTCCTTGCTGGGAGAGCACATGTGACTTTCAACGACTGGTTGCAAGCGAGGGAGGGGGGCGCATTGGGCGTGGCATTGCGTTGCCTTGCCATGTGCACGTCACTCAATTCACAAATAATTTGCGAAACATTTCTTCTTTTACGAAATTCAATTAACTACCATTTTTCAGTGCAGAGTTGCCACCCCTCCAAAAAGTGTAAACCATGAAAAATTGCACAGCATACAGAAAAGGATAACTGTTAACTTGGAGTCCCCATATGGGGACTCATGGGAGTTTAAAACGTATTCTAGAGTTGTCTACCAAAAAAATAAAAAACAAAAATAAGTAAATACATTCTTCATCTGGTTTACTTACAATTCAAATTGATGGCCACCATTTCGAGGAAGGGGTTGCTTTAGGTGCAAAGAAATGCGATGCAATCACACAAATTATTTCAAATTTTTCAATTGTATTTTCTTTTTATGATTTTTATATTTGCCAATTCGCGACGCTGTTGACGCTTAGAAATTCGCTAACCGACTGAACTGAGTGAATGACTGACTGAGTGAGCAAAGCAAGCGACTAAAAAAGGAGTGCAAAAACACAGCCAGGACACAAATACAGTTGGAGACTACTGGCATATAGTTTTAATTCGTGTGAGTTATTTTGGCATGCGCTGCCAAAAGAGCTAACGACGAACTGCTACTGCTGCTGCTGCTGTTGTTGTTGTTGCTAGAAAAAGTCGCCGGCGACATTCGTCTGGGCAGCCTAATTGCTTGGGCGGCAACGGCAGCACAGCTGAGCTGCTCAGCCTAGCAGCTGATGAGTCAGCCTGAATTTGAGTGTAGAAACTGCAGTCAGCAGTTCACCAATTGAGTGAATTGATTGAGACATATAGCTTAAGCAAACAAGAAGTAAAATAAAAGCACAGAAACAGAGAAATCTGCTACTTACCAGCTCGAAAGTCAAGTTCTGAGTCGAATTTTAGTCACATCAATTTTATTATAAATCTAAGAAAACTTGATGATACAGTTGCCTGATTTCAATGATTTTATGTTCTTATATTCATAACTAGTGAATTTGGTGAGTATAACTTGTTAAACACAAGAGGTATTCATACACGAACTCATCGTACCCTCGACAAGGTAATAATAAACGTTAATTATTAAGTTAAGCAGTTTATCGAAAGATTGCTTTAACAGCCAAAAAGGTTAATTTAAATATATTTTAACTAAGCTGAAGAATATATCATACACAAAAACATGGGAAATGTATTAAGTAGAATCAACTTAAACTTAATGAAACATAGGTCAAATATATAGAACAAAATAAACGCCTGTTCTGACATAAATGCATTCATAATTTCATTTAAGTTTCTTAGATTTGAAGAGATTAGCTTGAAAGCAGCTCAGTTGATCTGGTTTGTGTGTCAAAAATTGTCTTCACTTCTCAGATGAAATAAAAAATCGAAGTATTATGAATGCATAACTTTTGTAACCAAGAATAAAATTGGATTCTTGAAACTGCTCTGCAGCTCACAATTTAGCAAATGCTCCAAAATGTGAAGTAAAATGTAAAATATTCAAATTGAAAAATGCATTTCATTTATACACAAATTCCGCTCACTACGATTTCCGACTACAAATGAAATGCAATTTTCCATTTAAATATTTCGTCTAAGCCAACAAATATTACAGCATACACCATCTATCCACGCCCCTCTCATCGAAGGCCCCGCAGCAGGCAGTTGGCCTCAGCGTTGGGCAAATGTCGCCAAAAATCATACTACTCTAGACTGCAAAAAAAAAAAATATATATATATATATGTAGGAAAAACTAAAACCAACATTCATATTTATCGTTGGCTAAGGGGATTTTGCAGGCAGGCGCAGGCAGCAAGAGCCAAAATGGCTGAAAGCACCACAAAAAGGCTGCAAGGCAACTCAAAAAAGGGCATTGCATACAACAAGGCGACAGAACAGCTGAAGTTGCAGTCGCATTTGTTGTTGTTCCCATTTATAGTTGGTGTTGCTGCTGTGGTTGTTATTGGTGTTGTTGTTCTAATGGACTTGGTGCCGTTGAGCGGCCTTTTCCGACTCGAAACAGGCACAATGATGATTCATTGCGGCTACTGTCGACTGCAACTTTCGAGTGCTTTTTGCCTTTGCAGCCGAATA